GCAGAGCATTTTTAACTTTGTCAAGTATGATGCGACATGATATTTTGCTTGCTTAGTGTGGACAGAAGCATGATGCCGCGTTAATTCTTGCGAAGATATAGGTCATGCTTCTTTGGAAGTTTGAAAATGTAGCCATTCTTCCAATCAATGGGCAGGTACCTCTCCTTTCTTCCTTTCAAACCTTCTACAGTAGTGGTTTGAGCATGTCCGCTGTTACCTCTGAGTCCGTTTTCAGTGATTTTGGAGGAATCCCATCTGGTCCTACAGCTTTCCCGGAAATCAGCAATTTTATGGCGTTCACGAATTCACTTCTGCCTTTGTCGGTGAGCTTATGTTCATTCATAGTTGTGTGGCTGAGCTGCTGAAGATATTTCTGGACCAGTTGCTGGTGGTGGTCGATTGATGAGTTTTTTGAAGTGGTTAGCCCATCGTTTCCTTGGTTCCACCTCTTCCGTCACCAAGATTCCTTCACTATCTTTCATTGGTTTCATCTGTGTTGATCCCCTCCCACCCAGATAGTAACCTGGTCATTTGATGTAATGTTGTCAGATCTTTGTCTCTCTTACCGGTCTGCAGCCTGTTCCGCTACACTTGCCAATGTGTCGTAGATGTGTTTTTTGTCTTTGCCCATACTCTTCTTTGTCCAGTGTAGTGTTTATAGGTTTTTCTTCAGTTCCTCTTTTCGTTGTTCATTCCTGCACTGCACTGGTTCATCTGCTGCTTCACCATCTTCCTCTTTCTGCTCTATCAGCTTCCATATGTCTGTGGAGATCCATTCCTGGTCTTATCCTTGTCCTCTTCCTTCCTAACATGTTTATATAGGTTTCTTTCCATATCTCTTTCAAAGAGTTCCAGTCGCCAGGACAATGCTATAATCCTATCCATTTGTTAGTTTGCTGTTGGATCCTTTTTTTACAGCAGCAATCCAAACAGTATTTCCGTTTGCAGGGAAACAATCTGCACTGAAATTTATCACTTTGTTCTTATCATATCAGAACACTTATCGATTCTAAACTATCATATACGATTAACATATTCCCAGATGATAGTTTACGGTGCTGAGGAGTACGCACATGTTGAAGGAAATATTCAGTGTAGATGATTCAGATGTATCTTTATTTTCTAACTAATGTAAGATGGTACTGACCTTAAGACTGACGTGATGAAGTAGTTTAACACCATTTTTTATACTCAAAACACTTTGTTTTTTAATGAGTAGTGAGACGATGTTAATATCAAAATAGTATAATATAGCAAACCAGCAACTAAAGCCCTGAATTAATGCAATGTGTTTATTCAGCCATACTTTGATTTCACTTTAACACTATTCCAAAAGCCAAAATAATGCATATTAACATTATACAACAATATCGTCAAAGAAATGTCAACAGCGTTATTTGCTTACTTTAACATTGTCTAAATAATGTCAAGTTTTACACAGATATACCTAGGATGACTGTTCTTATCACCTGTTATACGAGCCACATAAGTTAGATAGGATCTTCAATTCGACTCCGAGACACCACACTAACTGGTTCATCATGCACAAACACTTAGTCAATTTCCTAATTACTTCACAGGGAAGCATACCTGAATTTTAACATATCTAGTCAAGATTTATATACGAACTGGTTTTCTTCAGAATAAAGGCTATTTCAAGCTTATTAAAGAATTACGTTTAAAAAATTATTGAAACTTTTAAAATAAAGACCTTTCAGGCTCCTAATTGAATAAAAAAGTGACTCCTGCTTTATCGAAGTATATTGTAGACTGGTATCTAATGTAATTTGCTTTACGACTTGATTCCTACTGTTAGTGTTCCCCGACGAAATTACGGGTCAGGTCAACCTAAAGTCGTCAAAAGATTAAGCTTCAATAACGCTAATACTAAGATTTCCGGAATATGAATAGTTATTCTATTGTCTTCCACACTATCTATAATAGCAAATATGTATGGAAATACATATAAAAGACCTGTAACGAGCCCGATAAGTATAGGCTTTTTTTCGGTTTAAAACCTACTAATCAAACTTAGAAATTCAGAGACTAATCAGAGATTTTCTAAGAACCCGCATCTAGTTAGAATCATGGTGTTTTTTTCCCTATTTTCTGTATTAGTAACATTTTTAGATTTATCAGCTACAGTAATAATGATTGTACGATGTTCTTTGCGTACTTTTATATGATACAAAAATATACTTAGCAAGATTTTAATATTGATAAAAAGATAGTTTGGAAATAAATAGAAAGACAAACAAATTTCAATACACGTGACTTACATCAATGACAGAGTTTAGGTGCAATCACACTCAGTATTTATATGGACTTTTCTTTAATCTAACGTCAGTAAGAGGAACTAAAATAGAATCAGCTTCAGCAATTCGCTAATTCATTTTATTCGCTGCATACACCTTGCATTTCTTGAAATCACTATCAAAATCTGAACACAAAGTAATTAGAACTATTAATTGATAAAGGGTGATCGCTAGGTCAGAGTGTAGCTGAAGAAACATAATTTTATCACAGTGGAAATCTGTCCCTGAAACGGGAATACTGCCGAGGCTAATATCATTGTACGGGTTAATCTAGTCATTACCATGATGATGGAAAACGACAGAAGTAACTGCATTCCTTTCTTAAATATATTGTCATAAAGAAGGGTGAATGGAGAGGTAAAACAGAATCTATGCAGAAGGCCGATATCAACTGGTGTGTATACCTACTTCTGTATCCTTTTAATCCTCAGGAATAAATGAAAATTGATAAAAAGCTTCGTCTATTGTACAAAAGTCATTTGCTTTTAGCATACGATAGAAATTAGCTTGACACTATATATAACCTGCACAGTGGAAACCGGTGTGTTATTAAGTCTGTGACTAAGCACATGAAGGAGATGAAAGCCAAACCAAGGATAAAAACAGTTTCTAAGAAGTCGTTTTCCGTGCGTTTAAAAGAATATTCTCGGCATGATTATGGTAGAAAAGTTGAGAAAAATTTTTTCAGAGAACATTCAACACTGCAAAGGTATGTTCTGTGAGTACTCGGTATAAAGACAGACTTCCTGGTTTGGCCCGTTCTATTCACATTTATCAGTTTTACTAATCATATGAAGCTGGTTGCATAAAGTATGTCCACATCGGAATACCTGAAAATCATCATGGTGCCTAAGAAAAAGATAAAGATAATGAAAACATGAACATTACCTATATACTGGACGTAAGATGAATGCAAGCAAAACTTTTACGGTTATTTACTCTAAGCCATACAGTCTTCGAGGTAGTTTACTTATACACTTGCTTCATACGGTAGAACTTGTTGTTACAATGCGCTATACACCAAATCTTTATATCTAAAAGAAATCTGTACGAACTTTTACATTGCTTCAGGATTATAATTGGTCGAGAAAAACCCTTCTCCTCTTTTTAACTCATATCATGTCTCCTTATTTTTCTGTCTCTTTATTATTAAGCGTTTCTGTCAAAATTCATCCTCTTACCCTCAGTTCTTCAATTTTCACGCTAATCGTTATTGAATCAGCGGATTAACAATCTGTTTCACTTTGTTTTATACTTCTGCTAATCCAGTGTAGTTGTTACATTCTAGAATTTTAGCTTCATAGGTAAATAACTTTTTAAATTATTTTAGTTAGTTAATCCATTACCACTGAGTGGTATTTTTCCATTGAGTGAAAGACCAATATATTAGCGTACAGGTAATAGCAAGGACTGAAATGAAATATTTCTTCGATATTCAGTCATTTCTTTTAAGTGCTTACATAGGAATTTTCAATGTCATATTACTGTAAGAGTTCAAAATAGGCAGTGAAAGAGCACAAGTATGGTTATCGGCATTTTATTGTGTTCAAAATGTCATCTAGTAAATAATATTATATCACTGTGAACTATACCAAATAAAGAATCTGACAGAATGCTAATAACAGTCATCTACTGAATTTATAACATTTGCCATAAACACATTTGATGCTAACATACATCATTCTACGTGTTTTCAATAAAAGTGTAATTTCGTATATTGTAGAGACAGAATGAGAATTTTTTTTGCAGCACAAAGCTGAAACTCTACGCAAACAGCAACTGCTGTCTAGATTACTGTTTGTTATATAAAACACCTACACATGGATCCATTCTACATAACGAAATATACATATCCTATAGAACCGTCTATATTGTCACAGGAAGTTTTTTAATTCATGCTTCAAGTACAAAATACAAACACTAACACAACTTGTTTCCCTTGAGACAAAGCTCATACAGCTAACTGAATCATGTACAAACAGCGATAACTGTCAGTCGCCGTCCTTGAGTGTAGCTTTATACACTGATGGGTCAGCCGAAGTGAGTTTCCGTGCATTTTCCTTACTTATAGTCAAAGGTGCATAAAAATGGACGTCCTCAGTAAAAAGTGATCTTGATAGCAAATTGTGATGGAAAGTTATTTGTAGCAGTCGAAGGCCTGATTAATATCAAGAAGGATTCAATGTTAAAAAAGCTTCCACATATACTGGCAACATTTGCTAGGATGATAAGTAGGGTCAATAGTTTTCTCCATGTCAGTCGCTGATTCAAATTTACTCGTCTTCTTGTTGATTTACATGTACTTGATAACTGACTGACTTAAGCTAGAAGATGTAGAAAATTTCTGTGACTTAGTTAATTCGCACATATAAGTGGCATGCATAAATATTTTGTGGCTGGTCTGAACTTAACTTATCACAGAAATACTTACAATGAAAATTTAGGTAAAAATCTTAAAAGGATGGAATAAGTAGTCGCTAAGTAATTCCAAGGAATAAAAATATGGTTAATAGATATTGCATTATTTACAGTTGTTACACATTCTCCAAATTTATTTCTTTTCATTGAATATTTCTTAATTGTGTAGCAGAATATCTTGCTACGTTTCATTTACATAACGAACGAAACCTTGAAATATCAACCTTAAAACAATCAACTTTTCATTTTCCCCTATTTTTTAAATAGAAGCATATACTTGCACTAGAAAATTTGCTCAAAGAAATGGGAGTTTCAAGTGATACAATACGCAAGTGCAAACCTTTGTGTAAGTAAAACATTTTTAGTTCAGAAAAAAGTAAAGATATTTTAATTTCAATGAACAGTAAAGTCAATACATCTCATACAGAATGTTTGTTGATTTCTGAATATCAAAACTAAAAATTTGATAGCTGAAAATCATCTGTGCAGAAAACTAAGACTGAGTTATCATATTTATATATATATATATATATATATATATATATATATATATGTTTGAATACTGTTAATTCTGATTCACTATGACTTAAGTAAAGCTATCAGCTCCAGGTGACAAGACGTCAATTAAAAACAAATTTGCTTTCTTATTCATTGGAAAGTACAAATAGAGAAGTCATGTTTGTTGCCTTCAGTTTATAGGAGTATTTTGTAATTTACATCTTCACACTTTAAAATTGACAATTCAGTAAAAGTAGTTTCATAAAGAATAATTTTTTTCTTTTTAAGACGTTTCATTGAGGAAATCGAATGAAGACTAGAAGAGTTGTCAACCGTTAGTTAACAATCAATGAAATTGATTCAGACATGTAGATGATTGCACACAATAATAACATTAAATACTTACAATGAAATTTCCAGTGTATTTCATAAGGTTTTTACGGTAGTAGTGACCTTACTATGACAACCGTTTGGTGTTCTCCAAGCTTTTTTCTTGAACGTCTCATCATTAAGCTGAATGACCTCATCAAAATTCACTTTGTACAGAAGTAAATCATTTTCAAGTTATATGAATGCTTAAGTAGGTTGTTAGCCAAATTTTCGTTAAGATACAACGTATATCTGAAAACAGTTTGACTAAACATCCACGCAAACTAAAACTGCCTCAACTTATCATAAAGTAAGTTGTAATGAAGTAATCTGGGCTAATGATGAAACGTCCGGGAACAAAAATAAAATCAAGGAGAATAACAAACGGTTATCTTCTTGATGTTCTCGAATATTAAATATCCATACATTGAAGTTTCTTTCTTTTGCAAATTTTCCTCTTACATGGGGGCTACATTATTTGTAGGTTTCCAGGTATCCTAAATGTTTTGTTATAAATGTTCTTGAACCAAGAAATAGCGGTCATTGGAGCTCAATAGCATGCTAGACATTTAATTTCTTTAGTTTCTCGTCAGCGGACTAAAAGTAGAAGTATAATAATGTCATGTAATCTGAGCATCTGAACACGCTTTGAGGTGTTAACTGAAGTGAGTTCAGAAGAAATAACATGAACAATTGAGTAATACAAACATCTACAAAAAGACGTGCACATACCCCGTTTTCAGTAGTATGATAACAGAGTTGTTACAAGTGTATATTAGGTGTTATACGAAATTAAAATAGCATACTGTTTTTTATCATTTTATTACTTTAACAGTTAATTATGCGAAATGAAAAACAGAGCTTTAAGTCACCAAAGAAACACCATGTATGATAATGTAATTTGCGGTAATATGTCTTCCTTTAAGTAATCAATAAATCTATTACCAAGAACGTATTTGATTAAAAAAAACAATGAAAGTCCCAAGAGAAAAATTTCATTAGCAAAAAATGAATAATATTGACTTTCCATCTCTACATAATATCTCATAGACTTCAAAAGTGCATTCCAAATACATAAACACACGTATATGAGTGAACAAATGTTCTGTCATTTGCTGAAATCTCTATTTCTTCCATTGTTACGGTAAACTTACTAGTAAAGTTCTGCCTGTTTTTTCATTTTCTATATTTTGTTCCGTTAAATCATATGGCTTTCGTTACACTCTGAAAGTGGTAATGGAACTCAGGATGCATGCACCGGTGAAGAGAAAATATGGAAGAAAATCAAATGCAATTTACTAGTCTCTTTCCTCATGCATTGCATGAGAATACACTTTGAATTCTATATTACATTTGTTTATTTGATATATAGCGCACAGTGATACAGTATTATTTACTTCATCACGTTTCGAGAATAAATTACTGCTCATAATCATATCAATGTAATCACACTTCTTTCGATATCTGATTTTATAGTCCTATCACCTGATTTTCCTTTGTAATGACTGTGAGGTCAAATACATAGGTCAAACTAGCCGGTCGGGGTCAGTTAGATTAGCAGAACATAAGAATTTAGCTAAACATAGAACGAAAGACCCCAATAAGATCAATAACCTAGAAAAACACTCGGCCATTGCATTACATTCATTAACACACAACCACACAAGAGGGTGGGACAAAACCACTGTACTTAAGTCTAATATAGCTAGCTAGGTGGAGAGACAGATTAATTACTGAATCCTTGTTCATCGAATCCACACCCAACACATGTAATAGGAATGATGCAACACCTATACCAGAGATATGGAAAACTTTACTACCAATCAAAAAACAAAAAAACAAAGAGAGATCAGGTGACAGGACTATAAAATCAGATATCGAAAGAAGTGTGATTACATTGATATGATTATGAGCAGTAATTTATTCTCGAAACGTGATGAAGTAAATAATACTGTATCACTGTGCGCTATATATCAAATAAACAAATCTAATATGAAATTACATTCTACCACAGTGCCCAAGTTTTACACTTATATTAATACACTTTGAAACTTACTAACAGATATTCTAAAAGAGTATAGCAAAGACTCTAACCTCTGTGGTCTACTAGAACTTCATATTGTCAACCTTATACACTTCCAACAAACAGAACATGTCAGTTGTTTTCACATGAGTAAAAATTCAGTGACTCAAAAGAATCAGTTGGCCTTCAATTTAGGATAGCTTGCCGCGTTATTAAGAAGTATTCTCAAAATCCTCTTAAGGATATGTAAGAAAATGAAAAAACATGTGATCAGGTAAAGATGCTCTTTTTGATGAATTCATTCACTTAGCTGTTCAATCCCATTTATATACAACTCTTCGGTGAGAAAGTATAAGTTGTTTCAAGTGTGAAAGCAGTTGGTTAGATGTGGTAACAACGCGATACTTCCACTAAATGGAAATATGATTTACATCCAAAAGTAATCAAAATGCATAGTATCAAGCACAGTTAAACTGTCATGACATAAAATGAAATGTTGCCATAATAGTTGAGTAGTATTCAAGTTGTCATATGAACTAGGTAAAGATGATGAAGTTGACAATAAGGATTTGAGTAACATGGCAAAATCATAATGAATGAATGAGTGATCAGTGTGTGTATAGAAACAAGGAGTAGTTGATAACATGAATAGAAAGAAGAGATAGAAGTGAGGGTGGGAACGCTTGAAAAAATGTTAAGGGTTAAGACTATGCAAGGGGTGTGTTGAACCAGTCTCTTTTTATCCAAAACTGTGGCTTTTCTATCTGAATTGCGGATCTTAGAGTGCTCTCCATGAGCCCTTTAATAAGAAAAAAGTTGAAAAACAAGGTCATTTGTATAGAAACCTGTATGTGTATCAGTTCACCTGCTTTTTGGGGCTGGGTACATTTATTGTTCGTTGCGGATTCCACCCAAAAGGGTCCAGGAACACTATCCTGGATGACTACAAAGGAGTAACAGTGGATGTGCAAAAAGTGGGATCACGGGACATGCTGTACACAGTGATCATTCAATTTCGACAATAACCGCTCTCAAAGTTATTCACAAAAAGACAAGAAGCTTACAAAGTCAGTGTGCTTGCGCTTCTTTCGAATTGCTGAAACTTAAGTAACTAAAATAAAAAAGCCAGTTTTAGATAAAAAGAGACTGGTTCAACACACCCCTTGCATAGTCTTAACCCTTAACATTTTTTCAAGCGTTCCCACCCTCACTTCTATCTCTTCTTTCTATTCATGTTATCAACTACTCCTTGTTTCTATACACACACTGATCACTCATTCATTCATTATGATTTTGCCATGTTACTCAAATCCTTATTGTCAACTTCATCATCTTTACCTAGTTCATATGACAACTTGAATACTACTCAACTATTATGGCAACATTTCATTTTATGTCATGACAGTTTAACTGTGCTTGATACTATGCATTTTGATTACTTTTGGATGTAAATCATATTTCCATTTAGTGGAAGTATCGCGTTGTTACCACATCTAACCAACTGCTTTCACACTTGAAACAACTTATACTTTCTCACCGAAAAGTTGTATATAAATGGGATTGAACAACTAAGTGAATGAATTCATCAAAAAGAGCATCTTTACTGGATCATCTATTGTTTGATTAGGACATCTGACTTAGAAAATTATATATGAATGTGTAACTTGATAGGGCTAACGAAGCAAATGTGGTGGACTTACAGCTTTATAATTAAATGTCGAATGTTAACAGAAGATTTCAAAAGTGCAAAATAATATTACAGATCATTTACAGCCATTTAATACCAAAAAGTTGAGATATCCAATAATTAACTAATTAATTAAAAGCACTTTCATTTCACAAGAGTGAAAAGCCACAGTTTATCACACCTAAAGGCGAAAGCTCGTTTAAGTCACAAATTTTACCATATTTAGCTAATATGCTTTTGGTTTTCTTTTATTGATTAAGTTACGTACAAAGTAAATGGTATATGATATGAATGAAAATGCATCTGGACGTCGTATGCTTCACGCAGTTGCCCATATAACCAATAATCTCATGGGAAAACTTATATGATTTCACCTCAGTTAATGAAAAAATGTTCTTGAAAACTGTCGCATGTTTTTATATTTTTCGCTAAGAACAGCAGTCTACAATTATTTTAGTAGACGACTCACGTAGAAATTGAATATATGTTGTTATACGATAGATGTATATGATCTTTAATCATCATACTAGTCAGTTTTAAACTTAAATCTGTGGACTAAGTCTTTATTTTAGGACGAAAAATATATTTTTGTGATAGCGAAACTAATGAAGAGGAATACATATAATACCTGGCAACATACATTAAACAAGTGAAAACCGTTAACAAAGTTTACACATTTGGTTGAAATGTTCGTAAATCTCCAGAAAATCAACTTTATCATCATCATGAGCAAGATATATAGCACTTAAATATCGATAAAAACGTTGAA